GCAGCCTGCCTCACATCCCACCCCTCCCTCTCCTCCGAACAGCCTACGCGGCCCTTAATAACCCCAGTGACCACCGAGCCGGTATAACGGTCGATGACAAATACGATGAAAAGCAGGTGGCTAAGTTATACGGAGAAGAACTGGTTCACTGCCACGAACCCTCCTCATTTCTTATCCGTCTTTGGGACCACGAACAGCAGAGTTAAAGCAGATTTTGGAGTAAAATAGATTGTCTGCATTTATTAAGTTTCTCTAATTGTAATTTAGACATTGTTATTTTTTCATGAAAAATATTTAGAGAAAAAAATATTTGACGCACAATCTCAGGAATTTCTTCCCATTTGATTTTACGTTTTTCATTAATCGTAGCTGATCAAACGCCTTTCGAGAAGTTTTCAATTTCCTGCGCAAACAGAAGTTCTTTGATGGTGAGGAGCATATATAACGAATCGAAGTTTTTATCAGCTCCCGGAACTCAATCGATAATGTAAGTCTTACAAAGGAAACTACCAAATATCTTAAAAACTGGCAATAAATTAAAATTCATGACAATGTAGCCCTTCATATGGATATTTTCTTTTATTATTTAACTAGTTTAGGTCGGAATAAAACAGCGCGCAATCGTTTTAAATTCAGAACAGGATCCGTGACAATTTTGCCTTTTAAAGTAACGAATCGCCTTTTGCAAAGGGCAGACTTAGCAAAATTGCCCTCTGTTTGGAAGACGAGTCTGGAAATGGTACGAGTCCTATAGCTTGATTGAGGTGACTAAAATCGACGGCAAAAAAGCAATCTGAGCTACATTAAAACATTTTTTAACGACATGTTGAGCAAAGTGTTTCTAAAGGAAACACGATGCATAGACTATTACACAGAATTATGAAAAACAAGGAGTAGCAACTCTTCCAGCCAGCAAGGTTCATTCCTATAAAATAACGGTGATGTGTACGTACAAAATCATCTTCCTCTTCCAGGGACTATTTTGGCTCACTCCCAATGAGTAAAGTGGTTCTTCAGAATGCTCTGTTATGAGAAGGCATAATCCTTTATATCTGCTCTGTTGAAAGTGGCCAATAATTGTCAAGAATCTTCGTTACTGTTGGTGAAATGGATCTGTATACAAATATGCTATCTTTGCAATTGATAATTCCAGTTGCCAACTGTCATGGTAATTTTTTTCTTCTAATAAAAATCTATCAGTTTGGATTACGGAACTTCGCCGTTGCCAGACCGAAGCTCACATGAGAAAGTAGGCGTGATGAGGACCACGTGAGGTCTCTTGCAAAATTTCGCCACCTGCCCCTCATAGTATTGACCTCATCGAAAATTATACCGGCTCGGTCGTTGTCCGGATTGCCGTGGTCCGTACTGGCTGTTGGAAAACAGAGGTAAGCTGCGAAACGTTGGCGATCAGAACCTACCTCCCTCCCTCTGGCAGCCTGAAGCGTAGCAACATGACAA